ACACACACACACACAACACACCACACATCGGTGTGTAACATAATATTATTTAGTGATGGGCTCTGATCGTCTAACGCGGCGATATCGAAAGATACAGAAGTTCAAACGATGCATCCGTAGTTTTTTTAACTTTGTATCCTGGCTTCAACTGAAACCACCGAGCAGCGCTCTCCAGTTTTAAAGATCGCCTGTCGAGTCGGGCTGCACGATGAATCGTCATGACGATCTCGATTCATTCAACACGCCAGCACAATTCTAAACGATGGAGATTCTCTTGCTCGTATTTCCCTTTCTCTTATTTGTTTCACGATCATCCCCGTTGCTTCATCAGTCACACTCACAGCATAAAGCAAAACACACATTTAAGTCCTGAATCAGGTCGGAGACGATTCTCTGATTCTCCTACAACTCTACAGCCTTCAAGCTGTTCACTTCCTGTTCTAACATACACAGAGGGAAGAGACCATGTGTTCATAAGAGACCTTCTTAGTTTAAGTCCAGCACTTCACTGAAGGTTATGTCTGTAGAAAACCTTCGACACCACATGTTTGTATTGAGCGGATAAATGTTTCTGTTTGAAAAAAGAAGAATTGTGTGAGAGAGTCTTGATCCCAGGACTCAGGGAGACAAATCCTGATTCACATTTTAGAAAGTATCCTGCAGAGTGGGATTGTGAGGCGATGACTGAGCAGACTGTGAAACTTGTGTCGTTGCAGGCGCGAGGACATGCAGCAGCAAATTATTCGGGAGACCTTCCATTTGGTATCCAAAAGAGACGACAACGTTTGCAACTTCTTGAGGGTGGGAGGCAAGTAGAGGTGTTTTCTGACATCTCATGTTGACAAACCAAAAACTGTTTGTACGATATGTGAGAATGAAAGGTCACAGATTCTGTAAAATAAACAGGTGTCCATAGTCTGTCTACAAACCCCCAATGATGAGAGAAGTCCATCCTCTCCGTCTTCTGCCTGCTCCATTTTCAGAAAATGTGTGCTCAAACAGGCCGTTTGGAGATTTTCCCTTCATGACATCACAAAGGGCAGTAGTAGCCCTCCCCAGGTGGGTGACACTCCCACAGCTAGGTGTTTGTTCTGCCCCTGAGTCTGCCTTCTCACAGTAAACAATAGGACATGGAGCGAGAAAGACGAGTACACCCAAGACCTTCTAGAGAGGGGGCGTGGTCAGACACAGCTCATTTACATATTTAAAGGTACAGACACAGAAACAGCCTGTTCTGAGCAGGGCTGAAATAGAGAGGTTTATAGACATGATCAAATACAGGATCAGAGTGGATTTAGAACAAGAAACTTCACACATGTTTTGAGGAGCTCTGAGACTTTCTGAGACTTGACACTGAAGAAGAGGAGGAGGATATGTCACCTTTAAGAAATGTAGACGTGTTTGTTGTTGATGAGAGTGATATACTGACATTAGTTAAATTCTTTCTGATGTGTCTTTTCTTTATTTGACAACACAGGAAAGCTGATTACAATGTCTACACTCCAGATTATAGAACATGTTCATGTCTTAAATGTCTCCCAGATGTCTTTTTTAAAAAAAAAAAAGACAGATTAAATAATTGGTCTTTGGCTTCACTTTTTTCTCCTATGTATTTATTTTTTTACCACTGAAGGCAGACGTCACTCTGCAGCAAAAATGAGTTTCTCATGAGCAGCTGCTGGCAGAAGTAGTAACACGACTACGACCACTAGATAGAGCCAAACCCCCAAAACAGACCTCAGTCCCTCAGTCTCTTCTTTTCTATTCTTTCAGTCAGTTCATTTACATTCTGAATCACCTGTCAGTCAGACAGTCATTTCCCTGACGGTTCAGTTCACCGCCACACAGAGCGGGTCCTAACTGCTCAGTAAAATATCGATTTTTTTAAATCTTGTTTCAGTCTCATCGGTGGCTCGGACTACAAGCTGATCTACCGACACTACGCGACCCTCTACTTCGTCTTTTGCGTGGACTCGTCGGAGAGTGAGCTCGGCATCCTGGACCTGATCCAGGTCAGCCTCCAGTTTTGTTTAAGACATTTACAGACATACAGACTCCACTGACTCTTTTTCTGTTTTTAGAGGCTTTTCTATCAACACAAAGTTTTCTGAGTCATGATCACCTTTGTGCTATGATAAAACAGACAGGATTGGTCTCTCCAGGATAACAACCTAACCACCATGTACAAAGAATTACTACTTTATAGTGTATAAATATGGACAGGGCTCTCCACCAGCAGCATCAAAACTCCAAATGAGGGACTAATCCTTAAAGACGAGTGTACACTGTACGATTTCAGCACGATTTAGTCCTCGTGTTTTGAGTCGTACGACTGATTTTGAAGTGTGTCTAAATTTCACACTATCAGACATCATTAATCGTGCAATTTTTTGCCGGTGTGTGTATTTGAGCCTCGATGAGAAAACTGAAATCCACAGATCTGTTGGCGGTTGTACAGCGTGAGCTCTCATTGGTGGGACTCGACTTTGTTCCTTTGTTTACATTTGATCCCTCTGTATTCATTCAGCTGTCCAAGCTGTTGAATAGAAGACACTTAGTTTCCCCCCTTGAGATAATAAATAAGCCCCTCCCATTATTATATCTGTGTTGGGTTGGTTTTTAAAAAGCAGTCTGGTTGCTTTTTACGCTGCTGCTGGTAGGAAATGAAACTCTCCTTTCGGTGATCTCGTGGAAATTGTTCATGATAAGACGTCGTAAACATGTGAGTGGGGAAACCCTGATGTCAGAGACCCGGTCGTTATGTTCTCTCTTATCAGGTTAACTGGTCCCATGTGGGGAGAAACACACGACACATTAACCTTCCATTAAAAAACAAGTGCTCCATAAATGTGTGACAGAGTGACTCATCATGCTCTTCACAGCCAGTCGTTATGTCCCGGGTCGAGGGGAACACAGACGCGGCATGATGATGTCACACTCCGAAGACGCAGCAGCACTTCAGGTTGAACGTAGCGGAGCGGCGCCCAAAACTACAAACACAAGTTGACTACAGAAGCCCAAACCTTTCCTAACATGGAAAACAAAAGTTCCTTCTCTCGTCTCCTCAACAAAAAAACAGAAAAACAAAATGGCTTATGTTAAGGACGTCTGGCAGAGTGGAAGCAAGACTTTTGTGAAGGTCCGCCATTTTTATTCTCGCTAGTGAAGGAGTGATGTCTACCGGGAAACTCGGGGGGCTCATTACATTTAAAGAGACACACACACCAAAACGGAGCGTTCTGAGAGAGCTGGTTTCTACAGGGTCACAAACCTCCTCTGGTGCTTGATTCATGTTATATTTTGACCACAGCACAGCACAGATGTTTCATTTAGACCACAGGGGACTGTTTGAAAAGGTGGAGGAGGGGACTGTTTGAAAAGGTGGAGGAGGGGACTGTTTGAAAAGGTGGAGGAGGACTGTTTGAAAAGGTGGAGGAGGACTGTTTGAAAAGGTGGAGGAGGACTGTTTGAAAAGGTGGAGGAGGGACTGTTTGAAAAGGAGGAGGAGGGGACTGTTTGAAAGGTGGAGGAGGGGACTGTTTGAAAAGGTGGAGGAGGGGACTGTTTGAAAAGGAGGAGGAGGGGACTGTTTGAAAAGGTGGAGGAGGGGACTGTTTGAAAAGGAGGAGGGGACTGTTTGAAAAGGTGGAGGAGGGGACTGTTTGAAAAGGTGGAGGAGGGGACTGTTTGAAAAGGTGGAGGAGGACTGTTTGAAAAGGTGGAGGAGGACTGTTTGAAAAGGTGGAGGAGGGGACTGTTTGAAAAGGAGGAGGAGGACTGTTTGAAAAGGAGGAGGAGGGGACTGTTTGAAAAGGAGGAGGGGACTGTTTGAAAAGGTGGAGGAGGGGACTGTTTGAAAAGGAGGAGGGGACTGTTTGAAAAGGTGGAGGAGGGGACTGTTTGAAAAGGTGGAGGAGGGGACTGTTTGAAAAGGTGGAGGAGGACTGTTTGAAAAGGTGGAGGAGGACTGTTTGAAAAGGTGGAGGAGGGACTGTTTGAAAAGGAGGAGGAGGGACTGTTTGAAAAGGTGGAGGAGGACTGTTTGAAAAGGTGGAGGAGGGGACTGTTTGAAAAGGTGGAGGAGGGGACTGTTTGAAAAGGTGGAGGAGGACTGTTTGAAAAGGTGGAGGAGGACTGTTTGAAAAGGTGGCGGAGGGGACTGTTTGAAGAGGTGGAGGAGGGGACTGTTTGAAAAGGTGGAGGAGGGGACTGTTTGAAAAGGTGGAGGAGGACTATTTGAAAAGGTGGAGGAGGGGACTGTTTGAAAAGGTGGAGGAGGGGACTGTTTGAAAAGGTGGAGGAGGGGACTGTTTGAAAAGGTGGAGGAGGACTATTTGAAAAGGTGGAGGAGGGGACTGTTGAAAAGGTGGAGGAGGGGACTGTTTGAAAAGGTGGAGGAGGACTGTTTGAAAAGGTGGAGGAGGAGGACTGTTTGAAAAGGTGGAGGAGGGGACTGTTTGAAAAGGTGGAGGAGGACTGTTTGAAAAGGTGGAGGAGGAGGACTGTTTGAAAAGGTGGAGGAGGGGACTGTTTGAAAAGGTGGAGGAGGACTGTTAGAAAAGGTGGAGGAGGACTGTTTGAAAAGGTGGAGGAGGACTGTTTGAAAAGGTGGAGGAGGGGACTGTTAGAAAAGGTGGAGGAGGACTGTTTGAAAAGGTGGAGGAGGACTGTTTGAAAAGGTGGAGGAGGACTGTTTGAAAAGGTGGAGGAGGACTGTTTGAAAAGGTGGAGGAGGGGACTGTTTGAAAAGGTGGAGGAGGGGACTGTTTGAAAAGGTGGAGGAGGGGGGTAATATGTCCTCTTTAAAGGAGAGGGGATGATATGTTCTCTTTAAAGGAGAGGGGATGATATGTTCTCTTTAAAGGAGAGGGGATGATATGTTCTCTTTAATGGAGAGGGGATGATATGTTCTCTTTAATGGAGAGGGGATGATATGTTCTCTTTAAAGGAGAGGGGATGATATGTCCTCTTTAATGAATCATGAAGACATTGTTATGACTCTTGACGTCCTCTTCTCTGCAGGTGTTTGTGGAAACACTGGATAAATGCTTTGAAAACGTCTGTGAGCTGGATCTCATCTTCCACATGGACAAGGTGAGTGTGAACTCTGACCTTTGAGCGTTTCTGCTGCAGCGGCGAGCTCAGAGGTTACATGGCACTGCAGCACGGTTTGACCACATATGTACAACGTTCATACACAGGGATGACGCACTTTGTGGGTGGAGCCAAAGTGGTGGCAGAAAGTCAGCTAGGATTGATTTAATTGGTGATACGTCGGCAGAAGCTGATTTTAATGACCCTTGTTTACAATCAAAATAACGTTAAACATCCTACTTCGCTGCTCGCTTCCCGATTATGAGAAGAGACATTAACGTTACAAGGAAGAGTTTATGGAGTCACAAAGTACGTTTGAAGAGATTTTGCAGCTTGTTCACAATGATGTAAACAGTGGTGACCTGTGAGGAAAAAACAAAACATGAATCCTGGTGGTTATGAATCTGATGGAAACTGGAGATAAAAATCAAGCAGTAACCTCCGGTGTTGAAACATGAAGCCGATGCTGAAGTGTAAAATCCTGCAGTTCCTGGAGTGTCCACTAGAGGCTGACTGCAGAAGCACAGGAAGTCACATACACACCCATTCTAAAAAGCCTGTTTTTACAGCAGAGATGAACATGTTTACAGCCTGGTTCAAAAAACCAAATAGGTGTGATTAGCTCATGTCTGGATGGACACACACTGTACGGGGGGTGAATGTTTTGATGACTCATCAGTTTTGATTTGATGAAGGATAAGAGTTATTCACAATAAGGCGTGTAGCTTGACCTGATTGACAGGTGGGCGCGGTGTAACGGTTTGTCAGGAGGTTTAAAACCCGCCTCAGCTCCAGCTCTCAGCCTGTCGTTAGGTTGACTGAAAGTTAGACTGAAACAACATTTCCAGCATGGAGACCGCCATCGATGGGACTCCAGCGCCCCCTGCAGGAGCAAGTTCTTTTCAAAGTTTCTGTACTCTTGGATACTACAGATAGTTAAAATAATGAGACCGTACTGTTTTAAAAACATGTGGTATCACAGTCTCAAGCCTTGGTGTAACGTCAACAACCTTATTGTTCACACATCGACCTCACTGACGAGTTGTTCTGTGAGGCCGGCAGAGTTCAGACTGTTTAGTGTCAGGTTGAAGTGATTGAGACGTTTGGCTTCTCACATTCAGCTCCTCTGGGCAACGTCTAGATAAGCTCAGCTTTAACTCTTTAACATGTGATGTGGATTTAAGATGAGGATGAATGAGCTGTGAAGAGAAATGTAAAACATGAACAAGATGTTCTTACCTGTTCAAATTTCAATAGCAAAATGAAATACACTGAAATTAAAGAATATAAAAGTGTGCAGATCAGGTAGAACTCACAAGCTGTTTTCACACATGCACTCCTGAAAATATCTAGATCATTTCAGGAGTCAGCTCACTCTGACCTTCTGCAGAATAAATACGAGGAGGCTGGAGGAGAAACTCCGGGTGAAGAGAGAAACATTCAGATGTTTGTGATCACATGACGCTCAGCATGAAAAACTTCAGGAGGTTTTCAGGAGTTTTGTGCAGGTGTTTGAGGGCTAACAGTTTCTGTTCTTGTCTGCTCCAATATTTTTACACAACGTGTGTTTGCAACACGTCACTCTGCCTCAATAGTTCCTCTTTTTCCTGTGATTATTTCACACTCTTTCCATGTGTTTACTGTGAGCATGTTCTGTGCAGCTCGATCATACAGCCAGCTGCTGTTCAGGAACATCTGCACAGAGAGAGTATCAAACTGTGATCCTCTGATCGCTGATCACATGATTCTGCAGCCCTGATACTCCCCCTCATCCTCCTCCTCCTCTTCCTCCTCCTCTTCCTCCTCCTCTTCCTCCTCCCCCTCCCCCTCATCCTCCTCCTCTCTCCTCTTCCTCCTCCCCCTCATCCTCCTCCTCCTCTTCCTCCTCCCCCTCATCCTCCTCCTCCTCTTCCTCCTCCCCCTCATCCTCCTCCTCCTCTTCCTCCTCCCCCTCATCCTCCTCCTCCTCTTCCTCCTCCTCTTCCTCCTCCCCCTCCTCCTCTTCCTCCTCCCCCTCATCCTCCTCTTCCTCCTCCTCTTCCTCCTCCCCCTCCTCCTCCTCCTCCTCTTCCTCCTCCTCTTCCTCCTCCCCCTCATCCTCCTCCTCTTCCTCCTCCTCTTCCTCCTCCTCTTCCTCCTCCCCCCCCCTCATCCTCCTCCTCCTCTTCCTCCTCTCCCTCATCCTCCTCCTCCTCTTCATCCTCATCCTCCTCCTCCTCATCTTCCTCCTCCCCCTCCTCCTCCTCCTCCTCTTCCTCCTCCCCCTCCTCCTCCTCCTCCTCTTCCTCCTCCCCCTCATCCTCCTCCTCCTCTTCCTCCTCCTCCTCCTCCTCCTCATCTTCCTCCTCCCCCTCCCCCTCATCCTCCTCCTCTTCCTCCTCTTCCTCCTCCTCATCTTCCCCCTCCCCCTCCTCCTCCCCCTCCTCCTCCTCCTCCTTCTTCCTCCTCCAATGGGAGAGCTCGTCCTCTGCCTGGGGGAGTCATGTTGTGAAACAGGAATAAAAGTATAAAAACACATCATTGTTGGTGGTTTCTCATTTCAAACATCACAGATAGTAAAAGTTAAACGGCCTTTAGTTTCTGTGCTGGTTCCTTCGATTGTTGCGGCTACAGCGAGGCCTCCCTTTTCTCTCTCTCTCTGGAGCTGGACGAGAAGTGTTGCTGGAAACTAATCAGACACATCCACGGCCATCTTGATTGAATTTTCCCAGCAGGAAATTGACATCATGTGGTGCGGTGGGGTTTGGCTTGAGGAATGTGCCAAGATGAGACTTTGGAAGGTTTCTCATAGACTCTCTCCTGGGCAGCACTGACCTGTGGAAGTGTTCTACACTCCTGCAGGCGTCTGAAAACTCAGTACTCGTCTGTCCTGCACAAGGGCAGACTCTGAACGCCTCGTGTGATGTGTTAGAGACATCACTGATACAGTACAAGTGTTTGCACAGATAAAACATACGAATAAAGCTTTCTGAACTGCTGGAACGTGTGCAGCTCTCCACGTTTCCACTCTGTCATCTGTAACGTCGCTACAGGCCTCCAACAGAAGACGCTAGAAACATTTCCTGCCCGCAGGAATTCCTGAAATCTGAACTTGAAAGGGAAATTGAAACTGTGTGTTGGAGATGTTTCACAGACGTGACAAATCCCTCCAACATTAGATTCTGTACCTGCTTCATCCGCTTTGGAGCAGTTTTTTTTAGGAACAAACACAGAGGAAGTGGAGGAGGGATTGTAAATGAGCAAACTGTCTACAGCCTCAAAACATCTGGTTGTGTGTTAGGAGTCTGCCTTTGTGGGGTTTTTGTGTAATCCAGTTTTTAATGTTCAGTCCTCTATCTCAGGCGACACGGACCAGAACAGCAGCGGTCTTATTTGTGATGGGCGGTGGGCTTTAACCTTCTGGCAGTCCTCGACTACAGTGCTTCCCAAAGTGTGGGCCGCGGCCCCCTGGTGGCCGTGTGGGTACTGCAGGTGGGCCACCAATTTTAGAAATAACAGAAATATCACAATAATGATGATTACCATGAGTCAACACTTTAAGTGATTAGGAGGTGTGTCAGGACTATTCATGGACATAATGTTCAGTAAACCTTTGTGGTCTATCTCGCCATAATATCATGTTGTCATGTCCAATTATTTAACCCTTACTGAAAGTTATAGATGTAATCATAAACATTTTTTTTGTAACGGGCCCCGGAGTAAATTTGTATTTCAAAGCGGGCCGCGGCGGTCTGAAGTTTGGGAAAGGCTGCTCTACTAATGTCATGTTAAGATGTATGAAGGACAGTAAAACCCGAACTGCTGTGGAAAACACCCAAAAATGTAAACTTAAGTCACCAGCTGTGAGAGATCTGAGCCTGTTGTCTGGAGGCAAGGTGGTCGCAGCGTGGCGTTCTGTGTGTGAGTGACATGCTGTCTGCTGCAGAGCCTCGTTTTGTGTTAGTGAGCTTTCTTTGTATTGGTCCATATCCTGATGACTGTCTCCTGGGGTAACACCTCAAGAAGCCCCCTTCAGTCATGGAGATGTACTGTACATGGGCGCCTCGGCCAAATGTTTCCAGTCATTGGACACCGTGTATCACTGTGCGTTGAGATTTGTTACTGGTTGTAGACGCTTCACTCATCACTGTGACCTGTACACTAACTCAGATTGGCAGGTATATACACTGGCTGAAGCTTATTTATAAAGCTCTTCTTGGTTTGGTGCCTTCTTATTTATGTTCAGACCTCAAAGAACCAGAAGCCACTATGCCACTAGTTTTCTCCAAAATGACTTGAAAATGACGAAGCTCATTTCGCCTGAAGCCTTTGGCTCGATCTTAAAAGATAAAATACGTGAGACAATGGGACAGTGCCTGATGTGTTTCTGAATTGTGATCTGTGATCAAGATTCTGCACTTTATCTGTAAATCAATTTGCACATTGTAAATTGTTGTTCTCTCCTAACTTATTGTTTGTCTCTTTTATCATGTAATGTTTTTGATGATGTGTGCTGCTGCCCTCTTGGCCAGGTCACCCTCCTGAAAGAGATCCTGATCTCAATGGGTTCTTTACCTGGTTAAATAAAGGTCCATCACTTTAAAGAGCGATGAGGATAGTAAACAATGTGAACAATGGCACGCCGTCTTGTTGTTTCCTGTGAAATCGTCTATAACAGCATGTTTTTATTAAAGATATCTAACAGCTGCTTCTGTTGCAGGTCCATTACATCCTGCAGGAGGTGGTGATGGCGGGATGGTGCTGGAGACCAACATGAATGAAATCGTGGCCCAGGTGGAGCTGCAGACCCGCATGGAGAAGTCAGAGGTGAGTCTGTGAGCCTCTCTTAAGGACCATGCTGATGTTGTTTAGGGGTAACAGGTTCAGTTCTTCAGGTTGTTAAGGGGAAGTCCCATACAGCAGATAACTGTACGCTGTATTTTTAGATATTTTCACTTCCCTGTCCTTCAGCGTTATGTTTTTATCACGCTGTAACCACAGCGATGAAAAATGAAGACAGTGAGGAAGTGCAGAAAACTTCAGTTCCTCAATCGCGACTTGAGCAGTCGGAGCAAAAAAAAAAAAAAAAAAAGATGCTGTGCTTGATCCAGGCGGCCCGCCTGCTCTCTCCTCATTGAAAACAACTAACTAACTAAAAAACGCTAGGTGGACACGTGGGCGGGGCTTAGAGCAATGCATACATTAGCATTAGTTTTGTGGCATGCTAAGTGACGAGCGTCGGGACGTGTTGAAGCGGTTTCCGGCCCACTGCAGCTCCGTCTCTACGCCTTTTTCTAGATTGATGGAAAGTTAGGTTGAGGTGGCATTTCCAATATGGCCGCCACCATTTGGAGTTCAAACTAT